TTTAGCTAGCTACAAAATATCTACAAATCTATAGCTGGTTGATAGCTACATACCAAAATTTTTTTGATAGCGATTTTATTACGATATGACAGTAGCTACAATAGCCTGTGAGTCTTTAGCTTATTAAGCTAGCTGTCTTCGTAGCCAAATCGCTGTCTTTGTCTTTACAAATATCGATAGCTTTTCGCTAACTTAAAAAAGCTAGCGATCCTCGTGGCCAAATCGCTGTCTTTATCGTAACGATTATAGCTAGCTATTCGCTAGCCGACTTCCCACCGGGATGTTAATATTAAAAAAATTTTAATCAAAAAACAAAGCTTATAAAAGCTTATAAAAGTTTTTTTTCGTGTAAAACGTGTATTTTATATATTTGTTTGATTACAGTGATTAAAACGCTAACTTACTAATTAACCAGAAGCCAGAGGGTTTTGTGTCTGCTCTGGCCGCTGTATTTTCGACATCGGTAAGGAAGATGGCTCGGACTTTCTGATTAAATGCTTTTCCACAGTGCTCTATTGCAAGAACTCAAATTTTTCTTAGAACATCTTAATAATCGAAAAAAAACCTAAGGTTTTTAAATCAGTCCATTAAGATGGAGCGTAGGGAGCAAAGTTTGTGAACACATAGCCATTAGAGGTCCACCATTCGTTAATAAATCATACAAAATAATATATTATACAACTAGTCGATTCTGCTAATATTAGACTTTGATACCGACTAGATTGTAAAGTATAATCAGGTAACCAATTAATAAATACCATTCCCATGCCGGTGTCCGTTCAGTTCTCCTGATTAAAATATTAGAAAAACCACCTGTACCGCCAATGTATTTGGAATTGTATTCGTCAATGTAAATGCAATTGTATACGGTCCATGGCGTATCGCCGCCCTGAAAAAACTAGCCGCCCTACAGCTAAACCACGCTTCAAGCATAATAATAATTTATCTTATTTTATATATATATATATTCAAGCAATTATAATTAATTATACATATATATATATATATATATATATATATATATATATATATATATATATATATATATATATATATATATATACATTATATATATATATATATATATATATATATATATATATATATATATATATATATATATATATATATATATATATATATATATATATATATATATGTATATGTATATATACATTATATATATATATATATATATATATATATATATATATATATATATATATATATATATATATATATATATATATATATATATATATATATATATATATATATATATATAGCTTGAGTCTTCTGCGGCTGAAAATTCAGCCTCTCTAAGAGTCCAAAAATTGCTTCTGCGGCTGAAAATTGACGCATGCGCAAACTTGATCGGGTTTATTTGTTTTTGTTTGAAATTATGAAACTATTCAATCATTGAAACTTAGAAATCAGTTGTGATAATTACATAATAGTTAAAATTAGTTAATATTATATAAAATATGTAGTCAAAACAATTCAGTGAGTACAATAGAGCTTTATATTGCAAATGTTTTTATCTTCAACTCAACAAGTTTTGTTGTTAACTGTTAAAACTTGTTACAAATATTATTAGCGAAATCAGTTTTGGTATTGTTAAGCGTTTTTTAATCTTAATTTCCTGACATATTATTCTTAGAATATATCTTTTTTTAGTAAAAATTATTAAGGTCAGTGCTATAACGATTAAAGTTTTTAAATGATAATTTATCAAAGTGTTATTGTCATTACAACTCCCTGATTTTATGACAACCTCGATCAGCAATTATTCAGTAATTAGCGTCTTTTTTAACAGAAGCAACAAATATATATTTTCAAGTAAATTTTTTACACTGGTTTTTGTTACAAAGTTACAATTCTGCAATTTAATTGGTCCAATTATTTTGCTGAATTAATTCAGCAAAATAATTGGACCTTATAAGTTGCTGAGCTGTAACTTTGTTACTATAACCCCTCATTTAATAACAGTAACCCCTCATTCAAATGTTTTAAGCAAACAATTACAAAGTTACAATTAGTTGTAACTTTGCAACTTTACTATTAAATATTATACTGAGAAGATTTAAAGTAGATGACTCAGTATTAGACTTTAAATTTTCTCAGTATAACATTTAATTTCACCATTTAATATCAACAACATTGTGATAATTATTAGCAGTAATCAGTTGAGTTTTGTTCCGAATAGAATTCATTACCCATTTCAAACTCCAAGTTGTTAGAGAAGAGAGGCTGCCTTTTCTAAGCTCTCACAAGGTAAAAAGTTTTTGTCAAGACTGAAACATATATTGGTATCATTAGGCTTATAAAGAAGTCCAGCATGCCAGCCTTTACCAAAAGCTTTTGATATGTGAAAAGAAATAACCCTAGCCCCACCACTACAATCTAATGCCTAATTTTTTTTTAAAAAGACTAATTTTTTAAAGATTTGAATCACTAATGTTATAGTTTATATGTGTATGGCAAATTTCATCAGATCTTATATCAGTATAAAGTCATCAGTGCACTGACTTTATACTGATATAAAATTATCAGACTTTATACTGATATAAGATCTGATGAAATTGCCTTGTTATTTGGATTCATTACAATGAATTGATTTAGGTTTGATATGTCACCGAAATCAAAAAATTCCTTTTAGCAAAATATTTACGTTTTAGGGGCCAAAAAAGTTAAATTCCTAATTTTTTTTCCGAAAATCTTGGAAGTTTTTTTTTTTTTTAATTTATATAACAAATATATCAGTTCAAAAAATATATTGTTCAAAAATTATAGCCATAAGGTGTGAAAATGAAATATATTGTTTGGATATGACTGTTTTGAATATGTCATTTGTAAAATACAAACCCATGTACATTACATATATATATATAAACACATTAACTAATGTTTTATATTATTAAAATTCTGTTTATTAATAAACTTAACATACTTTTGTGACATTAGCATAAAAAAATATATAATTAATTAAAGTTAAAACATAAATATATTTTCAGGAGCATTTGTAATATTTACAAGGTTTTTTTCCGTTAAAACTGATAACAGCATTTTTTTAATGTTCAGAAAAGGAGCTGTTACTTATAAAAACTTAGAATCTATTCCAAGATTCATTAACGAAGTTGTAATGAACTGTTTCAACAGCTTTTTCAGAGTAGCAGCCTAATCCACGCCCTCTTACTGCACAAAAAGCAACTATATGTTTTAAAATATGATTTTTCAATGAAACATTTATATTCCATAATCTTCAACCAGTGTTTTTCAAAGTTTTTAATATGTATTTAAAAATAATGATGTAGTTTCTGCCACAAAAAAAAAGAATCAACCAAATTGTTTAAAGTTCTAAGCCCTTTTGCCAATAGTTTTAAGTTAATTAACAATGCAGGCATGTACTTGTCATAATCTTTAAGGATTTTACAGGAGGCTTTGCCATTAAAGGAATTATTCTGGACCTCTTTCGAAATGTTTAAAATCATCGACACTTTAGCAACTTCGTTTTTTACCACCACATTTCTCTATATGATTATAAATATGATTAACAGCTCCCTCCATTAGGTGTAACTCTGGTGGGAAAAGATAATCTGCCACTAAGTGATCGCTGGTTTTTGCGTGTATCAATGGAGGATTAATAACATTGCAAAAATCTTTAGCATTTTGTTTTATTGCACTTGATTAAGAAAATTTTGTGTAATGTTCTTCTAAAGAACCAAAAGTTCTATGCTTTTCTTTAAATGGTTATATTCATTTTCATTTGCATAAATGGCCAGGTTGTGTAGCCATAGCACTTGGAGATAAACCACACATTATTTGACAAAGCTTAAGTTCAGCTACAAATGAGTGTTTTTTTTAACCTAAATTGAGACAGTTCATTAATATAGAAACATTGTAGTGACTTTCAAGAACATTTGGAACTAAAGCTAGTAAAAAAGTAGCTTTTACAGAGCCTTCTTTATATTTAGAATTCTGAGGTTCTTTATATGTATTCATTGTAGATTTGTCTTCATGATTGTTTTTCTTAAGTTCTAAACCTTTGCTCTCTGACAGTAGGTTTAAACAGATGTAAAATAAATTTTTTTTCATTTTTACAAAATGTTGTACCATTTTGTTTTGTTTTGACTGAATCATAATTCTCATAAACATATTTAGAATTAAATTATTTACCTTCAGAAAGCCTCTTTCTCCATCAATACCAAGTTTGACTGTTTGATTGCTTAAGTTCTCTTCTTTAATCACAATAAGCAACTTTACAAACTCCTCAATATTGGCGCACTTAATAATAGGGACATTTTCCTTTTTTAACATCAAGTTCTTGATAATCAATTATAAATAAATCTTTAAGTGCACCATTAATTACCGGAAGTGCTTTTGTAGATTTGCTTGTATGCAAGTTTTCCCTTTAATTGATATTCCTTTTAAAATATATATTTTTTAAATTAAGGTTAACTATAATACTTAAAAAGAGTAAGAAATACTTTAAAAAAATTGATCTTACCTGAGTTCTTTTGCTAGCTGTATCAGTTTCTTGTTAGACAACGTAAGTCTTGATTGAACCCTTAGAAAATCAATCAAAGTGATCTGTCTAGGTTTATTTTTTAAGAGTCATACTGATATTTGTAAAGGTTTTGCTCCTGTAGCATGTTTAATACTTTTCGATCCTTGTTCATATAATTTTTCTGAGATAAATTTAGAAGCAATCTGATCCTTAACTTTAGCCGAGGTTTGAAGTTTTTCTAATATTTTTACAGCTAACGTTTTAGTTCTTGGGTTCTTTTCCCCTGCTATGATTGGGCCTCTCCTTATTTCTGGGCCCCTAAAATGGGTACCGAAAAAAAAAAGTCCTTAATATGTAATACGGGCCCCCTAATATGAAAATTGTGGCTCTATATATATATATGTATATATATATATATATATATATATATATATATATATATATATATATATATCATTTTTATCTCTTGCATTTAGGAAAAAATTCCAAAATTGGGCCCTTTTGGCCCCTAAAACATAAATAATTTGCAAAAAAGAATTTTATGATTTTAGTGACATATCAAACCTAAATCTACTCATTATAATGAATCCAACAATGTATGCCGGGGTCAAATCGCAAAACTAAAAAGTGATTGGAGGCATGTGTGAGTGATTATTTGTAAGGCTAACTTTATCTGATTTTTTTTATATGAGTAATGAGTATTTTTTATGTGTATTTTTTTTTCCAGACGAATGTTTGTAGCAAATTGAAAGGTTTCTCGCCTTTCAATTTAGAGATGCATTCTTGCTACATACTTATGTCAGTTGTTTGGTAATACTTTTGTGTTATGCTGGAAGATGGGAGAGATAAAAAACGAAAAATTGCTGATTGTCTTTTCTCAATTTGATAGGGGATTTCGAGCTATTATATAATTTAGCACAGTAGACTATTATATTTCATACTTTATTTCAATTTATAATAAACATGCAGATAAAACACATAATAATTATGTGTTTTATCTGCATGCATATTGTTACATTTTTAAATTGAAATAAGCTACGAAATATAATAGTCTACTGTCCTGAATTATATAATAGTTCAATTATTAATTGAATGCATATGGTTGAAACTTAAAAAAATTTTGTTTATGAAGTTTTACTAAGTTTAATTTGCTTCCAACCAAACAACGTTTGTATTATTTTAGCATCACTTGCAAAACTGAAAAAACACACAGAGCATAAGATTGAAAGCATTTGCATGTTACCAAAAAGGTAGTAAAAGAAATAAATGACACTAGTAAAACAAGACACTATCTTAATACTCATTTTTTTATTTTTTTTAGTTTAATTGGGCTTTTATAGCGCACAAATGTGTAAAAAACATTATAAATTCAGGTAATTACTTTTAATTGTTTATTTTATTTATCTTTATTAAATTTTATTCTTTAGATTTTTAATGTCAATAAGATTTTTTAAGTGAATAAAATATCATTTCAACTCTTTCTTTTTTTTAAATCAAAAAAGTTACATATTATTGTAGACTATTATTTTCTAAAAATTATAATAAATCAATTTGAACATAATTTTTTTTTTAATGCAGAAGTTACCTACCAAAGATTCTGGACTAGAGTATTTAATCAATCAATCAAAGTAGGACTACATCAATTGTTTAAACTATAACCAATAGATCATTTTGCTAGATTTTTAAACGTTATATCAGTTGTTTATAATTTGTAAATGGACATTTGAACAAGTATATATTTTATCATTTTAATATATCAAAAGTTTTTAATAAAATAAAATCTATTTACTTATTGCCTCATATAGTACTGAAAAATTTAGTCTCAATCAGGATGAATATATTAAAAAATATATATATATATATATATAAAAAGACGTGTTATCGATTGAAAGTTTATTCTTTCTATTTTTAATTAATTGAATTGTATTTTTCTATTTTGTGTGAAAAAATTATATATTCTGTAGCTGTAGCTTTTTTGTTTTTGTCTTAAATTGCAACACTTATTTAGCAAATATATTTAATTGGAACACTTATTTAGCAAATATATTTAATTGCAACACTTATTTAGCAAATATATTTACTTGCAACACTTATTTAGCAAATATATTTAATTGCAACACTTATTTAGCAAATATATTTAATTGCAACATTTAGCACATACGTTTAATTGCAACACTTATTTAGCAAATATATTTAATTGCAACACTTATTTAGCAAATATATTTAATTGCAACACTTATTTAGCAAATATATTTAATTGCAACACTTATTTAGCAAATATATTTAATTGCAACACTATTTAGCAAAGGGATTCAAAAGGTGTTATTAAAACTTATTATTATTGCGAAAGAGTAAAAGTTTAAAAAAACAGCATCTCAAACCATTTTTTGCATTTTAAAAAAGATTTATTTTAAATAAAGTTTTTTTTTCGTACTTCAGTTTTAATGCCACTAAGTGTTAATAAAATTTAATGTAATAAACGTGAAAATGACTTTGTTATGTTTCTCTTTTTTGTGTGCAACACCAAGCACAACAAAAGCTATCTCGACATTTCTGTTTATTAGTTGATAAGCAGCAGGTATGAAACCAACGCCCGCAATCATTACTGCAGGCAATCCAATCAATCAGAGTAATATCTATTGACGGCTCCTCGGCTCCACATACAAAACAAATGCTGTCATTTACATCCTTTTTTATTCCGTTTACTTTTTTTAAGGAAACTGTTTTTGATTTTTTTGTTTTGTTATGATCCTCCGACGGTGGAGAGTATTTTCTTTTAACTTTAAAAGGTCTTGCACGTTTTGCAACAGGACGACCACGAGGTTTGGGCAGTTGTTGAAAAATAACTTTATTTAAGCCTACTAAATCATTACTATTTGAGTTGTCGGCAGCACCTATTAGATTATCTTTATTTGGTGTCAATTGAACATTTTTACATATCGTTGTTGTTAAAGGTAATCTATCTTGAGGCGATTTCAAATCTAAAATGACATTTTCTGCAGTTGAGATCAGTGAAAAGTCAATAGATGATGTTGTTGACTGGTCTGAAGGGCAATCAATTGACTGTTCAATGATGTCGTTTGCACGTTCTGGAGAGGGTAAAAACTTATGCAATAGTGTCTTTTCTGATGGTGTCACGTCAAGTGTAGTGCACTTTTCTGGTTGCAATTCATCAATAAGATTCTGCAGGCTAGCATTCAAAGCAAAGTTGTTTTGATACATTATCAACATTTTAAATTTTTCAACTGCGCTAAAGTTTCCATTAAAATTCGAACTTGGTTGATCTGCTATAATGGAAGCTAGATCTTTAAGAACAACCATTACACTGTTAAATCTGTCATTTCTGGTACTTTTGGAAACATCAAAGTTAAATTGTGTCACAGACCCAGTAGAAGAACTAACCGCCATATTTGCAGATGCATCACTGGAGAAATATTGCGATGTCTCTCTTCTCCATCTATGTAAAACGTTTTTAAAAATAATGCAAGCTTACATAACAAAATTGAACAAAAACCCTACTCACAATACTGATAATTTTATAACTAAAGCCCTTAAAAAAATTTTACTATGTAAGAATGTTTTTTTTATTATGATTATTATTTACACTATTTAATGTATATTGTGTACAAGTTAAACAGTATAATTTAACTATATTAGTTATTTCAGTGCTTTGCAGTTTTTCTCCTCAATACTTTACTACGCAATTTACTATGTACATGACAGTATATTCAAGATTACAAGTTTAGTTTGTATAAAATGCTAAGTGACAAAATTAGTATAAATGCTACAAAAAGAACACACCTCGAAGAAACTGAAAGCGGTTGAAAGAGCGGTTCGTTAGTAAACATCCAAACAGCAATAAGATGACGACACGGAATTCCCATTTGAGTTGGCATTCCACAAGAACAGTTAAAGCCTTCCACACATTGAAAAGTGCGTATGTCATTATAACTTACTTTCCAATGGTTTTCAAATTTAATAATTGAATACTTTTTTGATCCTACAACTTGTATTTGTTTTGCAATTATTCCTGCAGCATAGTCTGTAAAATGTTTGTAATACTCAACAACATTTGGTTGGGGTATAATTGCAGTTTTCATATTCATATCAAACTGACGGTGATGAGTTTCATATGATCGAACATCCATTATGGTCAGGAGATTCTTTATTAAACCATCTAATGACAGCTGTGCAGAGCCTAATACTCGTTTCAGTGTATGATGAAATCTTTCAATTCTATTGTTAGTCCTATTCTGAAGGTTCATTATGTTGGAGTTGCTAAATGAAGTTATGTTATTTTTAAAGGGAACCCAGTTTTCTAAGATGTAATTGTAAAATTTTAATGACATATTTTGGATTTTAAGTAGTTCATTATCAAAGTTGTTACACGATTTAGACGTTAATAAAGTTTCAAATTGTTTAATACAAGACTTTTTTTCGAGTTCTCCGTTAAGACTTGAAAGATACTTATCGGCAGCCTTTAAGACATGAAAATAGCAAATGTTAATATGAATATTCGGAAAAACTTTTTTGATGGCATTAATTTCAGCTAAATCCTTATCAACAACAAAACAATTAACACCTGTTGTATCGTTAAGCTCAGAAAATAACTCGAGAAATTTTTCTAAATGAGCTTGGTCTTCTTTAGACAAGACAGCAAATCCAACAGGTTGTCCCAATCCATTGCTATCTTCTATTAGTAACGTATACAATGGATAACGCATTTTATTGGTTTTATATGTTGCGTCCATTTGTATAACTTCTTTATATTTCGAAAAGTTAATTTGCTGCTGGACAGTCTGAAAAAATAAAGTCTCAAAATTGTTCTCAGCGTCTGTTATAATGCGATAAATAACCCCGGGTTGTGCAAGGACACTCCGAATTGTTTCATTAACAGAGCCTAGATTTTTTAACAGTTTTTGTTTTCTGTTATATAAATCTTTTATTCGTACATGCGATCCTTGTCTATGTAAAACATCCGCTACAAGCGTTGGATTAGCATGCATAACAAGCATACTGTCAATTTCTCCCTGCCGTTCTGGATTTGGCTTTCTAATATCATGATAGAGAGAATATATATTAGAACCAATTTGGTGATTTTTATGCTCTAAATCGGCCTTGGTAACCAGGAATTTATTGAGAAGACGATTATAAGTGACCGTAATTTTAAATTGACAATCCTTTGCAAAGACATGCTGAATTTTTCTTTTGTCGTTTCCTCGGCTTTTAAAATCCCCAAAATGTTTACATTCCCAATTTAGTTGCCAGTATTTTATATCAGGTGGAAGTTGACTGTTGATACCAACCTATTCAATAGAATAAAGTTAATTAATAAGATATAAAATATCTTGTACACATATAGGTCCTAAAGAGCTTTTTACGCGCTAAGACGCGTAATTAAACTCATGTAGCTCAAGTATATAGTAAGATCGAGTAAATAGTAAAGTTTATTAGTTAGTATTGTTATATTATGTAATATATAACAAAAAGATTGCTAATACTGAAATATATAGTTTAACTGGGAAGCCAAGAAAATTTTTCATCAATAAGAATTCCTAAGAATTCTATACTTGCCTGCTTTTAAATTATTTTTTCATTTAAATAAAGGTTAAATGATAAATCATCGAACTTTGAAACATTTTTTTACGAGAAAATAATCTTGTAAAGTAATAATTTGCAAAAGTGGTGCTAAACGTTTATTAAAGTTGGTTGGGCATAAAAAAAAAATGTTCTTGTTTATTGAAATTCGCAGACTGTCTATATATGTTGACTGGCTTGTCTAAATATGTCAAATTTGCCGACTAAATGAAAAATAAATTTATTGACTAGGGGCGAGGAGGGGTGTGTCAAACATTATCATACACCCTACCCCCTTCTCCCACACACACACAATTTAGCGTTGACCTTAGCTGGAACCGCAATTCCACCATTTATAATGTTCTAGTCCAAAAAAAAAAAAGTTGGCGTTTAAGTGGTCCGTCAAACGCTGAATATACAACTTTACCGTCAGGTAAAGTTGTATATTCAGCGTATGAAAGGTAAATTACGTAACGGTTAAATAAATTATTTATTCCGACAATTAAAAAAACTCCAGGTACACATGTATTAATATTGGATGGTCATAACACACATTTAACATATCAAGTTGTACTTGATATGTTAAATGTGTGTTATGACCATCCAAACATACTATCTTGATTCTTGATATTATAATATCAAGTTAGTATGTTTACCGGCTCCCTCTTCCCACATAATTTATATATGGGAGTAAAAAAAAACGTTGACATAAAAATAGTGGAATGGGAATTCTAAATGAATCTTAAATTCTAGAAAAGCTACGACTAGTTGAAGAACTAAAACAAAATATAAAAAAAGGGCAAACTTAATTTCAATGTTGATAATTAAGTTGAGTTGAATTATTCTCAATGGTTTACCATTTACCACGTTAATTCGACAAATGGTGAAAGTAAAAATTGCAAATGCTGGGTTTGCCAAACATATTTACCAAAAAAATACAAAACTGGCGAAAAATTTAATTGTAATAAACAAATTTTGAAACCTGAAAAATCTCTTTTTTTTAAATTAATTGTTTTGCCAATTGTAAAATAAATGTTTTTGTTATAACAAAATTACCAATACTTTTATTTTTAAAACGTTTAGTTTTAAACAAATTGTCTGGTAAAATTGAATTTTTTTTTTTAAATAAATTCATTTTACTAAAAACCTTTCAATCATTTTATTTATTTTTTTACATATATATACAAGGCCGGCGCGATGGGGTGTATGACCCCCCCCCCCTTCAATGATTTTTTCGTTTATTTAGTCGGCAAATTTGACCCATTTTTACTAGTCATTCGGCAAATGTAGACCTTTTTAACAAGTTAGTTGGTAAACGTAGACAGTCAGTCGGCAAAATCGGTAGCGCAGTCAGTAAATTTTAAAAAACGAAGACCTTTTTTTTTTTAGTCGGCAAAAGTTGTACTAGCACCGCCACGTGACACCTACTCGCGCCGGCTCTGTATATATAGACTCGGTAAAGTATTTAAAATAAGCTCTTACTGGTTCATCACGTTCGAAAGTTAATAAATTCAGATTACACTCTGGTTCATATGTAAATTATGAGAAATACTCATACTTAAGCAGAGCGTGTAAATTATTATAATTTAAACAAAAAAAAAGTTTGGCTAAGTTTGTGTATTTTTACCCGGTTTTTTTCAAACAATACAAACTGAGGTACTATGGAGGTACTATGGAAATAACCTATAAATACAATTTCAAAAAAGAATGATCTTTCATGTTTAAAAATTACTAATTAAATCATTATTTAAAATCATTTTTGCAAAAATGATTTTTTAGTTTGATAAAAAAAAATTATAATAGGTTATTTGTCTGCGATAGGTACATTTGTTTGAACAGTGTTGTTAAACTATACGCCTTTTTTTTTTTTTCAAAAAAAAACTTTGGGGATTTTGATATGCAATTGCTTCTTAATTAAGCGGTTCGTAGATAGCTCGTCCAAAAAAAAACAAGAAAGAAAAAAGTATATAATGGTATTTATTAAAAACAAAACTACTGAGGACATTACAGCATTATTGATTTTCTACTTTGTTCGTGAAAACGTTTCAAGCTTTACAAATTGTTTTTTATTTTTCTGACGAACTACACGTTAAATAGTTAATATTTTTATATTATGAAAATTATGGAGGGGTGTTTAATCAAAAAGCTAGTAAAAGCTGGGAAAAAGGCTTTCAAAAAAAATATATTAAAATAATGTAAAAAGGAATGATTGAATTCCAGATAAACAATTTTAAGATGTATTTGGGGTATTGAAAGAGGCGACAAATTAAAACAAAGGTTTTGAATTGACGTTCGACTAATGTTACTTGTTTTTAACATACAACTTCGTATTTTTTATAAAGAAAATTAAAATACAACATGTAAAAAATTACAATAAGATAATATTGATAAATATCATAATACTTTATTTACCTTTCATATATATATATATATATATATATATATATATATATATATATATATATATATATATATATATATATATATATATATATATATATATATATATATATATATATATATATATATATATATATATATATATATATATACAGTAAATTCCCGTTTACTCGAACCTCCTAGGGGCCGAGGCTAACGGTTCGACTAAACGAATGTTCGACTTAAGCGAAGTAAAACAATTGTTATTGCTTTCAAGGAACTTTAGAAAATAGTTCGAGATAACAAAAGTTCGAGTTAACCGGTGTTTGACGTACCAAGAATTAACTGTATATATATACACACACACACATATATAAACATATATACATATATGTATATATATATATATATATATATATATATATATATATATATATATATATATATATATATATATATATATATATATATATATATATATATATATATATATATAATAAATTTTTTTTTTTCAATACAAGAGAAAAAATTCAATCAAAAAAATAAAAAAAATAATGTATACTAAGTCACTGTGCGAATTAGGTTGTTTATGACTAATTTTAGGTATTAATTCTAAATCTGAAATCCTTTTTGCCTCCTTTATTTTTCTAAATTCTTACTTAAAAGCTCCAATTAATCACAATAGAAGGAACATACTAAACTTTTAATATATCTAACTATTGGAATGGTTCAGGATCATCTTGATCACCCTGCTAACGATATCATGTAACCCAGTACTACCTCCCCCATGCTGTCTAGTAGGGCTTGCTTTTTTAAGGCAAAGACTTGGAGAAACAAACTCTGACTTGAAAGTACCTTGCTTTGGGGCTCTCGATGGAGTAAAAGCTAGAAATGCACCTCAATAAAAACACTCCATCTAGTGCAGATGTTAACTGCATTCAGCTACTGTCTTGTAAATGACCACCTTGACAAAGACTTAAAGGGTAAACAGATTCTATTGACCAGTCTCGTACCACTTTTTCAATTGGCTGTACACCCCTTCTTCATTAGGCTGGCACAGATGTATTTGTAATACAGGGCTCATAGCCAAACATTTATACAAAATTCTGACTTTTACCTGACTTTTTTGAAAAATCAGACGAATTTCCCTGACCATTTTCAATAATGGTTTTTATAAAATGTTTAAAACTACTATCTACTGTAATGGAAATGTTAAAATTTTACATGCTTTGAATGACAAAACTTATAAAACTTAACTATTAGTTAAGTTGGATATTAGTATGGATCTTATTATAAAGAATGACTAAGAATGAATACTAAGAAAAAAATAAATGGGTAGCACCAACAAAAACATAATAGCTTAGTTGTAAAGCAAGTAAAATCACAATAAGAATTCCCTTTTCCATGACTAAAGAAAAAATATATATTCCCTGACTTTTCCAGATTTTCCCTGACTTTAGCCCAAATTAACTAAATTTCCAGATTTTCCAGGTACAGTACGAACCCTGTAATAAATTGTTTCATTAGCCTGAGCATTTACAATTGTAATTCACCCATTTCTCAGGTGAGTTACATTTCACGAAACTAGGTTTAAATCTATTTTATTTATATCTAATGATAAAACAATTCTTAATAAAACAGATGTCTTTTACAACTTCTAGAAACTAATATAAAAAGGTTTTTTCAAACGCCAAAGCTTGCTATTCTGATGTCACAAAATCTTATATTTCATCTCAAAATTTTGGCTCCAGAGACTTCTAGAGAATCTTCAACAGTGTCTGTAATAAGGGCAAATCTGTTATTCCTCCTCTCTTGCATGAATCAGATTTTGTCACTTCACCAAAAGGCAAAGCTGAATTGTTTGCTAAGAACTTTTCATCAACTTTATCTATTGATTCAACTAATTATATCTTACCTGATATAGCAACAACAAACAAGTTGATCTACTGCTTGATATTGGTAACACTCTAGCTTCTGTATTTAAAGTAATTTCATGCATAGACTTTTCTACAGCTTGTGGTCCGAACTACGTACATGCTTTAGTCTTGCAGAAATAATCTTGCATTATCTGTTATAATCTTGCAGCGTCTGTCATCAATACTTTCAAAACTACTTACATATATATTCAAAACTGCTTATCAGAGTCTTGTTTTCCAGCCTGCTGGAAAGCGACATGTTATCCCTACTTTCAAAAATTTTGAAGAGCAATCTGACTCATCTAATAACGGGCAAATGGTAACTGTAAATCTAATTCGGTAGTGGTTGAGCGCTTGCCTCATAAGGAAGAATTTTGTGTTCAATCCCCACCAGTTCTCTGGTAACACCATGTCTCTAGTAGATGTTAAAAAATAAATAAACAAAAAATCACCAGAAATCTGTTGCTCTAATTAAAACGGTTATCTTTTCATAATAAACAAAATCTAGTTTTTAACTTGCCACAAAAAATTAGACGTTTTTCTCTCTGTGCTGTATTTCATTACGTTGTTTCTCAAATATACACCATCTTAAGCACCTTCTATCTTTACCTGAAGCTTTACTGTTTACCTGTAGCTTTTCTACAGGTAAACCTCAGACTTTTCCTACTTATTCCCCAAATTTTTTCTCCTGAACTTTTTTCTTCTGAAGCTAACTTCATGCTGAACCCTAATTATTTGCATCTTATTAATTATTAATTTAAAAAGCCATTAAAGTAATTCCTGAAATATACTTTTTTTTTAAATAATCATTACTTGACTTACAATAAATATTACATCTAAAATTTCCTTATCTGGATCTTAAACCAAACTGCTTGTTATTGATAAATAGCTTCTTTTGTTTTTTCTAAAATCTTTGTTTTTAAAAAGTTTTATTCCTTAGTAATGTTTTTTCAATTGAGTTTATAAACCTTTGCCATTCCAGTTTTCTTTCAATAATTTTGGATTTTTCCTTCATGTACAATAGAATTGCATTGATGACCTACATCCTCTAAAGCCTTCAAAAGCTAAGCTAATACACCAGGATTAGCAGACCTGCAGTATTCTCTTTTTACTTTTACCTTGCCAACAACTTTCTTACATTATCAAAAGCAATGTAAAACTTTTTTTTTCTTGCTTTTTTTCTCTTATCTTAAATGTTTGAGGTATAATTTTTATATTAATTGCCCAAAACTAATACAATCACTTGACCTTTAATCCTTTTAATCGCAAACTTTTTTTTACACTGACACCAGCAACCAATGACAAGAAAAAAAAAATCCAAATTCAACATTTATACCATAAAACTAGTCTAAAGTATTTATTTTTATTTTACCATTCAGTGTTATTTAACAGTTGAGTAATACTATTGAGTAAATGAATAAAAAAAAAAAATATATATATATATATATATATATATAAGCAAATATACTATATAAAAAATGTATATTTTATATATATATATATATATATATATATATATATATATATATATATATATATATATAAACACACAAACATATGAGCAGTAATTAGTAAAAAACACTTATCTACTGTTTTTTTCTACTGGCAGCCTCTATTTCTGTAGGATTATCTGGAAGTATTTTGTACCATCAGAGTTTTTATATATATATATATATATATATATATATATATATATATATATATATATATATATATTTATATATATATATATATATATATAGAATTATGATAGAAAAGTTTTCCGATTTGAATACAGTTCTTCTTCATAGTGTCATCGATTCGACTAACAATATTGGAATGCTGTACAAAAATCATTGTAACTAATAAATTAAAAAATTAAATTGCAATTATCATTAATCCATTTGATTGCTTTGATTTGTAATACAAGTAGAACTGATTCAAACATGATAAAAAATTCTGTACCAGAAGACATTTAAAAACCCTTGAATATATTTTAAACAGAAGCTCTAAAGAAAAAAATGCATTAATCACATAACTTATTCTTGTAACTTTAGAATAACTAATCAATAATAAAAGTGTTATTCTAGACATATTTTCTCAAATTTGATGACTTCACTGCACAGAAGTGTAAATGCTAAGCCAATTATTTAATAGTTAAGTTATAGTAGTAACCAAATAAATATAAGTATCAAATGACATGCAAACCCCACTGAACATTATGTAAGTTAAAATTGCCACAAAGAAAATTTTGAGTGCAAGTCACACTTAAATAACAATTACAAACTGACATCTCTTACAAGCAAACACACTTAATTAAAACTTTAAAGATGTAATTGTGTGTGTGTCTGTATGCATGTGTGTGGGTGTTTGTTTGTGTATGTGTGAAACACATTTAAACACTTAATTACATCTTTAGATACAATTGAGTGTGTCTGCTAGAAAGAGATAACTCCATTATTGGGTTCAAAGATCTAGATTTCAATGGCAAGGAGGGTCACCAAAGCATTGAGATTGTAAACCTACCCATAAGAACATTTACAGTCGTCATCTTTATGAATGTTTATTTTATTTTCAGTGTGTATATAATCAACCATAATTTACACTTTTATTAATAAAATTGCAAAACTTTTCAGAAGCACTGTAAACTACAGTGTAATTTGATTGAATAAAGCCTAATGTAAATAAAGGACTATTGTTTATTTACATTAGCTTTACAGCTTATTATAAGCTTATATATAGCCTTAATATAGCCTAACATAAGTCTAATATAGCCTTTGAAAGGCTATATTATGGAACAGGATATGTCCATTCGTTTATAAAAGTTCGTTTTCATGTTTATCTATTTATATAATAGCTCACCTTTTTGTTGTAAGCTGCAACTGTGACATTGTGCCTTTGACTTACAGGATGAAAATTAGCTTTACAAAAACTAGATATAAAGATATCGGCTTCTTCAAAATTCTCAAAAGATTTTCCAATTGATAGGCTACTCATTTTATGTCTAGGAGTAATCTCAAAAATAAAGCATGTACGCCAAAACGTGTTTTAACGTTAAACTAGCGCATGCGTTAATTTTCAGCCGCAGAAGCAATTTTTATTTGCTTAGAGCGGCTGAATTTTCAGCCGCAGAAGATTTATTCATATATATATATGTATATGTATATGTATATGTATATACTATTATCATTATTTCAAATATTGATATTTTTTTATATTGTTAGCTTTGGCATTACTATTGTTATTATATCATATTATGTATTATTAGAATTATAGGTATTTACTTAATATTAGTTATTTTACTTTTTGTAAATATCCTTGAATGTAAGATCTTTATTCAATAACATAATTTAATTGATATATATATATATATATATATATATATATATATATATATATATATATATATATATATATATATATATATATATATATATATATATATATATATATATATATATGTATATATATATATATATATATATATATATATATATATATAATATATATATATATATATATATATATATATATATATATATATATATATATATATATAATATATATATATATATATATATAATATATATATATATATATAATATATATATATATATATATATATATATATATATATATATATATATATATATATATATATATATATATATATATATATATATATATATATATATATATATATATATATATATATATATATATATATATATATATATATATATATATATATATATATATATATATATATATATATATATATATATATATATATATATATATATATATATATATATATATATATATATATATATATATATATATATATATATGAAATATATTATATATATTGAGCCTACTAAAAACATAAATTTCACCAATTAAGTTTTAAAATGTACATGTTACTGTACATATAAATACAAAGCCTGCTCTGACCAAAAATCGAAGACCTTTTTTAAGGTATTTGTCAGCCATCGATTCTAGAAGAGTAGACATATAGATAACTAGAGCATGGACTTTAGGAATTGCATTTTCTCCTACACAATATATGTTTTTTTATAGGCATTTATATGATCCTTGTAAGATATGTCTAAACTTAAACCAAAACAAGTTTTATTTACATAATTTAGTTTCATTGCATACATAAACTTTCTTAGTTTTTTAGGTAAATTATCAAACTTGGATTTAAGGATATTATCTGTCAAATAGTGACCCTCAAACTGATCATTGTAGTTTTGGCTCAGCAAACCCTATTGCTTTATTCTACATATTCATGGATGTGTCTGTTTCTGACAGTATTTCAACATCTATGTTATACAAACAATTGGTATTTCCAGGTAATAGGTTAAGCTCCATTGGGAAAAAGATTTTTGAAACAGGTATATCTGGTTGATATAACAAAGGAATTTGAACACAATTCATGAGGGCTGAAGCAGAAAGTTTTTTTTCCTGTGCATTTCACAAGTCATTTTGTACTCTTTTACATTATCTCTAATTATAATAAGTTTCCTCACAAAAAACCTAGATTTAAATACTGAATTAAAATCACCATGATTTTTCATTTTTGCTAAAGAAAAAAGTTATAATAATGATAAACTGATTCCTTATTGATAGTTCACACTATCTGCAAAGGTGATTAGAGGAAGGTGTTTTAATACCAAAATAAATGTTAAAATTAGCATGCTTTAAGTCAAATGCTGAAAAATACTTTTCTGCCCCTATCCCTATTGATCCATTACCTGCTTAATGTTGTGGTGGTTCTCTTTAACATTTTGAAAAATAACTATAATATAAAGTTTCTTGACTCCTTTGCCCTTGAATTTGTCATGCTTTAAACCTTTTTTGTATGAGAATTTTATCTTAGGTTTCTTAACAATCTAAAATGCTTAAACAAACCTTTAAAAATCCTCTTCCACCTTCCAATCTTTACTATATGATCTGGTAATATGTTTATTTCTCTCTTTTCTACAAGTTGATTTTTAGGATCCAAGAAAAAATTTTTTTTTTTGTTAAAACACAAACATCTAATATTTTCACTTATATGTGCAATAAATATTTTATTTTATTATGACTTTTTCAAGGTTATTACATATTTTAAAATTTCAAAAAAAAGTCTCAAAATGTTTACAATAGACAGCTTTTATTTGATGGGTGATATCTTAGATAATAAAATCTCTTTTGCAGTAAACTAAATGCTTTGTTTGTTTATTAATTTGAAGCTCTTCAACGTCAAAAAAAAAAAGACCTAGAGCTCTGTCTTCAACCAAAACCATGTTTTTTTTCTTAAGTTGGGTTCATAAAACACCTTTCCTTTCCAGCTCCTAAGAACACTACACAGTGGACCAAACAGCAGTTTCATGGACTTTCATTACTTTTGAATTCATAACTTTTGAATTCATAACTTTTGAAAGGAAAGTACTATAGCCTATAGTATTTTATGAAATTTTCAATATTTTGTTTTTTTAAATGACCTAAATAACTTGCAACAAAATTATTTTTTAGTTTTTCAAAAATTTTATGTGTATAAAAACCTTTCAAAAGTCTTTAATCAACCCTAATAGGGTTGATTAAAGACTTTGGAAAGGTTTTTATACACATAAAATTTTTGAAAAACTAAAAAATAATTTTGCTGCAAGTTATTTAGGTCATTTAAAAAAACAAAATATTGAAAATTTCATAAAGTTTGCTTTTTTATTTGTTATAACAAAAATACGTATAAATGTTTATAAATATTATGCATGTTTTGTAATATAAAGATAATCAAGGTACATCAATAACAAAAACAATAAAAATTATCAAAAGAAGTACTAAAATATTTAATTTATTCAATTTGTTAACATGTTTGTTAAAATATTTTATGTTGTTTAACATGTTAACATAATTCATATGTTAAAATAAGTCATCTTCAGATAAAATCTTATTTAGTAAATGACTGGGGTTGGTATTTGACCTGGGCCGTATTTGATCAAATATAGCTGGGTTTGTGACTGGGGCTGCATAAATAATTATACGTCCTAAAGTATATATTTTTATATTAAATATTACATGTAAAAAAAAATTTATGCCATAATCTATAAACTTAATATTCACATTTCCATAAATTGCAGTCTAAGATTGTTTTTTCTATTTTAGTTTTTCCGGATATCCAAAACATTTTCTATACATTCAAGTTTAGTTTTTTAAGCTTTTTTACTCAGTATACAAAAAAAAAATGAAGAAAAGTTTGAAAAAAAAAAATTAGAAAAAAATCATCTAAAAACAAAGTTAAAAGGAATTATTATTACCTGTCTTTTGCAACATATTTATGTTATTCAATCTAGTATATATTCTAAACAAATCATGCTTTTGAAGTAATTTTTTAAAATGAACTTGAAATTCAACTTGAAAATAAGGGAAAATATATTTCTGATATTTTACCCAAACAATTTTCTGGATTTTTCAAATATGACCTGGATGATCTATGGTAGTGACATTTTTTCTTATATAATGCTAAAAATGACTTCTATGTATCATATACGTATTACCTGTCTTTTGCAACATATTTATGTTATTCAATCTAGTATATATTCTAAACAAATCATGCTTTTGAAGTAATTTTTTAAAATGAACTTGAAATTCATTTGGCTTTCCATAACAAATAACTTAAATTTATTTTGGTAACATTGATTTTTGAGCAGTGTTCACTGTTTGGTCCACTGTGCACTACCAGCTGCTAATGTTTAATAATCACTTATATCAGGGTATCTTGTTTTTAGGAAAAAGTATTTTAGATTCTTTTTTCGTTAAATATTCAATGTTAAAAATTTTAGAAGCTAATAGCTGTATTAAATCACCTGCTTTACTTCAGATAGTTTCCGCTTTAGGATTTGAGTAC